GTGAGATATGAACAGGTACAGCAGTTACAGAACATCCATCCGTTCTGTGAAGAAAGTGGTTTCCTGTGTCTTTCACCAACGTTTTTTTTTAACCGTAGACTGAACCTTCTCTTTATGGCATCACATTCAAGAGGCCCACATGGAGGTTTTAATAATATTAATAATCTTTACATTCGATATAGCGCCTTTCACTTTGGAAGGATATCTCAAAGTGCTTCATGGGATATATTGTAACGGACAAAGGTTTTATGACAAATCGGCACCTCGGTGAATTGCCCTCCCCACTTTTCAGGGAGCCAGTATGCCACTGTGTGCGATAAAATTCAATTCCAGGCAGGACGAAACCTTGCGCAAGTTTCCTTACTCCACACGTCTAATAATAATCCCTCCAAAAAACAAAAAAAAACTGGTCATTTTCAATCCATGACCGTTTGTGATACACTGCTGTGCGTAATTGGCTTCCGCATTTCGCCCACAAATATACAGTCAATTCACTTTACAGTATATTCTGTGAAGCGCTTTGAGAAGTCTAGAAGACGTAAAAAGCGCTATATCAAATGCAAGGATTATTATATTATTAAAATATTGTAGCTATCTGAGGCCGAGCAGGCTGTTGTGATATGTGGTCCAAGTTCCGAAACAGTACTTTGAGCTCACAGTCTAGGCTGACATTCCAGCGCAGCGCTGAGAGTCACAGGATTATTGGAGGGTCCATCCTTCAGATTAAATTTTACACCAAGGTCCTGACTGCCTGTTCAGTGGATATTAAAGATCCCATAAAACATTTAAAACACTAATTGAAAAGCGAAGAGATTTTCCCAGTGTCCTGGCCAACAATCACCTTAGATACAAATTCACATCATGTGTGATTCATTCACATCATTCACACATATCAATTGTCACGTTATTGAGTTACAGAAATGCCAGGCCAGGGCCAGGGCAGTCAAAAGCTCTCAAGAGGATTGGCTCATGCCAACCCTCAGCTTCTGACATGGAAACATCAGGGAGGAAGAGTTGAGCAAAGAAACCATTTGATTAGTTGACCCAAGATACATCTCCTTGGGGTTTAGGTATGTGTAATAGTTGAGGCCCCATTTTTCCATAAAGTGTGAGTCACTCTGGACTGCAAATAGGAATTTTAATGCAGGAAAGCAACAGGAAAGCTTGGTATGAAGATCAATCAAGATCAGAAAGAGCTGTAGAGAGTGGAATTGCATTCTATATGTACTATTCGTCATATATGGGATTAAAGACAGGGCTTTCAGCCCCTTCCATCTCCACATCTGATTATAGATTATTTGTTGTAAAAGCATTACACAATTGTTAGCAATTTACAACGAAAATTGAAATATAAGAACGGCAAACCACAGAAACTTACAACATGGAAGAAGGTCTTTCAGCCTTCATGTCTGTTCTGGTTCTTTGAAAGAGCAATGCCTTCAGTCCCACTTACCTACCTTTTCCCCAGACCCTTTTACACGTCTAATCTAGTTCCCTATTAAAACAGAATATGGATTCTGCCTCAATCACCATACCCAGCAGCGCAGGCCTAACAACTTCCTGTGTAAAAAAAAATCCTCTGAATTTCCCCCTTTGCTAAACATCTCAAATTGATGCCCTCTAGTCACTGATTCAGCGACCAGTGCAAATCATTTCTCCTTACTGACTCCAGCATAATCCCTCATAATTTTAAAGAACATTCAACCCATCGAGTCTGTTACACTAGTTTTTTTAAACTCTTGGCATCTTTTGTCTCTGTATATGTTTGCCTTTCCCCCATATCACTGCCTTTCCACACATATCTAGGGTTGCCAACCCTCCAGGATTGTCCTGGAGTCTCCATTAATTGTATTAATCTCCTGGACAATGCTGCAAGCGAACAATCATAGGGAATTCTCAAAATGAATAGTAAGATGAATCATAATTGTCCTGTTATCAGCTTTTTGTTTGTTTCATACACACCTGGCGTTCCTACAATCCAGCCGGTGTTTGAAATGTCAAGGCAACACACACTCACCCTCTTTCAACCATCTTATTGGTCTACTGGTGCTGCAACTTGCATTATCTAACTACCATAAAGTCAGTACTATCTCACTTTACAATAGCCACCAAACATAACCCTGGCTCACGTGCAATCACAGTGTTATGCACTTGCAGAAGAAACAGAACCATTTTTCAAAATGGATGATGGTTTGCATAGTGAATTTGTTTTGGAGTAACTTAATCCTTAATGGCATTACGTAATGTGAATGCACTCTAATAATAATCCTTGCATTTGATACAGTGCTTTTCACGTCTTCTAGACGTCCCAAAGCGCTTCACAGAATATACTGTAAAGTGAATTGACTGTATATTTGTGGGCGAACGCGACAGCCAATTGCGCACAGCAATGTCCCACAAACAGTCATGGATTGAAAAGACCAATTTATTATTGTTTTGTTTTTTGGAGGGATTATTATTAGGCGTGTGGAGTAAGTGTGCCCAAGGTTTCGCCCTCTGCCTGGAATTGAACTCAGGTCTCTCACTTGCAAAGCGAGTGCTCTAACCACTGAGCTACAGGACTCCAATACATCTAATCAGGAGTGACATACCCCTGCCTCCCCCTCCCAATACCCCTTCATACCTCCATCACTTTCCATCAGCCTTTTTAAACATCCAAATTGATTCTACCTTTTAGGTTAGAATATTCCATGTTCTCACAACCCTATTTAAGAAGAAATTTGAGCTGACAGTTCCAAGGACAGTAGGAATGAGGGCTGGAATAACCAAGGAGTATAAATAAAGTAAGTAATGTCATGAAGAGATCTACAGCAAAACCATGATTGCTGCTCTGGCAGGTCTTCTGCCACCACCCTCTGGAACTCCATCCCACAGCCCTCCACCTCGCCCCCTCCCTTGCCTCCTTTAAGACCCATTCTCAAGACCCTCCTCTTCAGTCGTGCCTTCGGTCACCCTGCCCTCCTCCTTCCTCCATCCTCCCCAATCCCATCCCCCAGCTCGGATCCGAAACGCTGACTGTCCTGCACCTTGGGATGTCCTCCCGACATAAAAGACGCTATACAAATTAAATTTTGTTGTCGCCGTTGTTGTCTGACCAGAGACAGCACGACCAATGTTTAGAGAGGGTCTGAATGTTCAAGGGGAAATAGAAAGTGGTGGTGACTATTGCCCTGGATACCCATGCCAGATGGATGCACATTTCTGGCATTTGTAACATCAAAAGGAAGTAAAAGCAAAGTACTGCAGATGTTGGAAATCTGAAATAAAAACAGAAGTCGCTGGGAACACTCAGCAGGTCAGGCAGCATCTATGGAGAAAGGAAAGTGAGCCAACGTCTTGGGTCCACGACCCTTTGTCAGATATGTCCGACCCATATGTTCGACACTGAGGAAAAACTTTACTGGAGCATTTTCTTCTTTCCTTCAGCATTTCCTTGGAGCTTTTAAATTCAATTCTGACAAAGGATCGTGGACCTGAAACGTTGACTCACTTTCCTTTCTCCATAGATACTGCCTGACCTGCTGAGTGTTCCCAGCGACTTCTATTTTTGTATCAAAAGGAAAGACGCTGCCAAAGGAAAAAAATCTCCACTAAATATTCAGTTTCCATCGGAAAATGACTGGATGATGGAAGATTGGATTAAAACTGAAACAGATGCACAACACTTCACATATAAAACACTGTCCAAAGCCATTCAACAGGACATTGTGAATCACAATTGCAAATCATATTAGCAATTGATTATCACCCATTCATCACCCCTACAGGAACTGCGAGGCTGTTCTCAGTGAGGGTTGTTCTCAGTGAAGTCCTCGGGGTGGGGGAGGGGGGGGGGGGGGGAGAGGGGGAAAGGGGCTTGAGAGGGGGAAGGGTTGGGTGGGGGAGAAAGAAGGTCATGGTAGAAGCCCATCTGTACTAACCCAAAATTACTTCACTGCATCCTAACAAGTTAAACGTAAATTCTAACCTTTTGAACATTCAAGGAATGCTTTATCACCTGGCGTACAGCACAGGGGTGATGGGCCATATGGCCTTTGGGTTGACAATGTTTCATCTTTCCAATATGTGCGATACTGAAGAGAAACTTTACTGGAGCATTTCCTTCTTTCCTTCAGCATTTCCTTGGAGCTTTTAAATTCAATTCTGACATTAAAGATAAAGATGGACTTGAAGAATCTAGGCTTTGTTTAAATATTCATTACATCCCTTCAACATTTCCACTCATAAATTCCCACTGAGAGGGGCTGGGAAAACTGAAATGCAACATTCCAATCGGGTGTTTTCCTTTTTTGGCGAAACTTACTCAAATTTTCAAGAACTGAACCCCTGACCTGGATCATTGCTGGACTCAGCATATTTTGTTGTTGAAGCAAAGTCCATCAATTCCTCTAGAGAATTAGATGCTAGAAAAAAAAAAGGACTACAACAACTTACACTTGTATAGCACCTTTCATGTCAGAAAGACGTCCCAGGGCGCTGGACAATCAGGGGTTTTGGACCCGAGCTGGGAGTTGGGGTCAGAAGGGGAGGAAGCTGGGGGGTGGGCGGCCGAAGGCATGGTCGAAGAAGAAGATCTTCAGGCAGGACTTGAAGGAGGAAAGAGAGGGAGTGAGGCAGAGGGATTGCAGGATAGAGTTCCAGAGAGTGGGGGCAGAGATACTCAATGCCCGACCGCCAATGATGGGGCAGGAAGTGCGGGGGACCTGAAGCAGGCCGGGAGGTGGGGAGTGAGCAGGAGAATGGGGTTAGATTCAGTGACTCATGAGGAGACAAACACCAATGTTTTTGATGGGTTGAATGGTCAGTTCATGCGCAGTAACATTCTATCAAAGATTAACATTTCAAGCTCCTTCTGGTGAATTAATGGAGATGAAAGGGTAGGTTGAATAAACTTGGTCTATATTCCTGGAGTTTAGAAGGTTGGGGGTGATCTAAGGCCCCACCTTCCCCCATAACACTGGTTAACCTATAAGCCGGATGCTGGCTGGTTTCCCATGCACTAAAAATGGTCTGATTTCCAGTGGTCAGGAAGCATTGACTGGCAACTGTCTTAAACACTCTGAGACGCTACCCTGCATGATGGACACTATATATATGCAAGTTGTTGTTGCCTTTGATCGTGCCAAGTTATAAGGTGAGTTGGAACTTTATGGACCCCCAACTGCTCTCCTCTAACTCTCCTCTGTAAACCATTAACCCCATCTTCTCTCCTGCTCTATTTGCAGAAAACTGTGAAAAGCCTTCAATTGTGTCCCGGAGCGCTTGACAGTGGCGGAGTCTGATGCCGAACCAGCGGGAGAGGGAGTGGGGAGGTGAATGTGAGCACAATTGAAAAGGAAGGTCTTTAGCCAGGATTTGAAAGTGGGGAGTGAAAGGTAAAATGGAGAGATTGAGGGAGAGAAATCCAGAGCTTTGGGGTGCAGTGGCTGAAGGCACAGCCACCTATGGTGGAACAGAGGGGACGAGGGACAAACAGGAGGCTGTAGCCAATATATGTGCAACCAGACCAGCTACAGATAGATCGTATTTGTGCCATTGTCTACTTTTGGAGTCCTGCAGCCTCTCAAGTGAGAGGACCTAGGTTGATCCCCTGCAGGGTGAAACGTTCGGCAAGTTTCTGTACTCCACACACCTGTTTACCTAGCAGCAAGTAAGAACCCGGTTGTTAGTTGATTGGCGGATCGCTTTTTCTGAGGTAATAATCCCTTCAAATAATAATAATAATCATTAATTTGGTTACTCAATCCACCAGTTTGGGGACACTGCTGAGCGCAATTGGCTGCCACGTTTCGCCCACAAAATATAAAGTCAATTCACTTTACCGTATATTCTGTGAAGAGCTTTGAGATGTCTCGAAGACGCGATAACGCATTATATCAAAATCCAAGGATTTTTATTACCTGTGCACATGTCCAATCAATCTGAGCACCAAAGCCTAGTCTACAAACCTGCATGCATAACATAAACACATACACATACACACCGAGAAAAAGTAAATCAACACTTCCACTTCATTATTTAGGCTTGGTTAGTTACTGCTTGAGGAAGCAGAGAAGCTCCCCTTGCCATCTGCCACTATGCAGTGTAATTGACAAGTGGGAGGACTGCAACAGTAAACCCACTCCCCAGGCTGATCTTCTATCCCTCTAAGTGTTTTTGCAACAAAACCCCATTTGTCTTCTATTGTGGAGTGGAGGCATAAATAACAATGGCTTTAAATGAATCAAATCTCAAACCATGATCTGTCCTTGTGCTCTCCTGCCTACCTCCCAAATCTGCTGTTTGCTGCACATCAAATGAAGCAGCTTTAAGTACTGACCCATCTAACCTCTCTACATCCACGGTTAAGATTAAATCTATTCTTCCCCTACCCCTCCCCCACATAGAATGATCCTAAAATTGGCCCTCTGAAATCAATTCTCTATTCAAAACACCAGAGCTTGTCAAACATGAAAAAACGCTGGATAACAGTATAAAAGCAGTCACAGTAATAGTTGACTGATCACGACTAGTCTGTGACATGAATTTATAAATCAGCGTCTGGCTGACGACACACATCTACTCCCCCATCAGCAAGGCCTCGGCACATTATTCTCTTCAACCGTGCCTTCAGCTCCCCTCTCAACTCGCTACCCCCTCCTCGCTCCCTCCCTTCCCTCCTCTCACCCTGACCAGTTAACCCCCTGCTCGGGTTCCGACCCAACTGTCCAGCGCCTTGGGACGTCCTCCCGACGTGAAAGGCGCTCTATAAATGCAATCTTGTTGTTGTTGTTGATTATTGTGACCTACTGTACACGTATTCCCCTTTACACGAGGACCTTAAGCACTTGGTGATGAAGAGCAAGCCTGGTAGAGGAACTTTCACTTCTAGAACAGCAAGGTAGCTGGCACAGTGCAAGCTGTCCTTTAAAGGTCCTTCCACTTTACTGAACTCAGAGGCTTGGGACAATACCTAAAAAGAAGTAAACTACAGGGGTATGGGAAAAGGGCAGGTAAATGGGACTGAAATAATTGCTCTTATAAAGAGCCAGCATGATGGGCTGAATGGCCTTCTTCTCTGCTGCAACGTTCTATGGTTCTAACTTGTATAAAAGATGCTGGAAATTTCCCTAGAATTCGGGTTCACGGATACAGCCTCATACATTCATGTCTTTGTACCTCCTTTAGAAACACGTAAACGATACAAACAGCCTTGTTATAACACAACGTTTGCATTCACAAAGTTCCACACTTAGCAAAGCAGGAAGTGACATCAATCCTGACCTAATGAACAAGAAGTCGGTCACAATGGCAGGCAGGAAGTCTGGCCGGCTGCGTGTATGCACCATGAATGGTCCACAGTGCACAGTCATCAGCAAATTTGTATTATATTAATGCTTGTTATAATAGGGCTGCATTGTATGTGAAACTCACAGTAATTTGGTTTGGGGACTCCTAAGCACAGGAATAGGTTTCTGTGTGTGTCAGACAATTGCTGAGTAAAATTCGATTATTATCACTAACATCATACCGTATTATTTTCCAACCTCAGAAATTCGGATACATTAAGACTTTGCTACATCCCGAGTACTAATTGCACTTAAATAGTGGCTTTCACGTTGGAATATGTCGCAAAGTGCTTTATGGAGAAGGAGAGATGTAAGTAAATCAATCACACAGCATTTCTATCTTTTGTATAATAAAATAATAATAGCAATTCTTAGTTTTGATATAATGCCTTTCATGTCGGGCCAATGTTTCAAAGGATATATTGTAAAATGTATTTTGCAGGTGAACGCAGCAGCCAATATGCACACAGAAATGTCCCACAAACTACCATGAAGTGATGTTTCTCCATATAAAAAAAGGAGGATTTACCTGCAGTTTCTCTACTGCGCTGTGGATTTTTCATCAGTTTATTGTAAATTTCACTGAAACAGAGCTTTTCAAATATTTACCTGAAACAAACTAGATGCTATTTTAAGTCAAGATTTTTCCACACATGATAAATATAGAATTGTAAAGGGTGTGTGTGAAATACCTATTTATATTTCACTGGTGACATGACCTGCGCAAGTCACTGGTAACTGTGTGGCTCAGGAGCTGTGAGGTCATCCTCAGTCAGTAAGGGAGAAATAGGTATTTTACACCTTCTCACTGTGACTACACGTCCCCCATTTGTATGTGATTGAGACACGCATTCTGAGGATCACAGGCTGTTCACACGTCTCAATACCTGGGCCATATACACACACACATTCTGTACATATGTCTCAGTGCCTGTACATGGTACACACACAGGATGTACACATGGCTCAGTACCTGTACCACACACATACACACACAAACAGGCTGCACACTACGTACAAATGTACAAATGTGTCAGCACTCCATCACACCCACTGCCACCCGGCTCCACAGCCTCCCCATCCCTCAGCGGATCGAGTTCAAAATCCTTGTCCTAACCTTCAAGCCTTCCATGGCCTTGGCTCCTCCTATCCTATCCCTCTGACCCCTTATCAACCTGTCTGCTCCCTCCGCTCAGCAAGCTCTGGCCTGCCACATGTCCCCTGCCTGGCGTGCCCCACCATTGGCAGTCGGGCCTTCAGCCTCTCTACCCCCACCCTGAGGAACTCCATCCCACATTCCCTTCACCTCCATCCCTTCAAGGCACGCCTCAAGACACTCTTCTCCAACCATGCCTTTGGCTACCCTCCTACCCTCTTTGCCCTCCACCATCCCTGATCTCAACCTCCCCCCAACACTCGGCTCTTAATGACCTGACTTTTCAGCACCTTGGGAGATCCTCCTGATGTGAAAGGCCCTTTACAAATGTAATTTTGTATTGTATTGTACAATGTGTACACAGGCGTGTTCAGCCTGTGTGTGTATATGGTACATATGTCTTAGTGTCTGCACTTCATGCACATACATGGTGTGCACACGTTTCAGCACCCATACCATGTGCACACACAGGTTGAGACAATGCTAAAACCACAGCCGGCTTCCAACTAACCTGCAGCAAGAACTCACATCATCATTTAGAAATTCATGCTGCAGGTGAAACTAAGATGAAAAAAAATTAACTTTACATAAAGAGCAGTCAGAAATTAACCAGATCAGGGTTCCGTGTGGGTAAACATGGATGTAAGCTGCAGCTCCAAGACATCCAAACTAGGATCCAGATTCAGGCTGTGATGTCTATCTCAGCTGGGACAACAACAACTTGCATTTATATAGCAGTCTTCATGTGGGGGAGCATCTCAAGAGAGCTGTTCGGATACTCTGGAGTCCCCAAGCCTCGGCTTTTGCTACAACCTTTGCCTTGGCTTTTGCTGGAATTAGGTAAGCAAGATGCGTCCATCAGGGAAGAGAGTGAGTATTCCATTCCAGACACGGGAATGTTTCTGTTTGTAGGTGGCGCAGTGATGGTTTCTCCATGTATCAGGTGCCCGGCTGACCAAAACAGAAATGCTGTGCAATTCATTCCGGGAATGGAGTGGAATACACAAACCATCAAAAACAGAGAAAACACACAATCCTGCCCCAATGTTTGGAAATGTTCTGCTCAGGTTAATGTCGGAGGAAAATGGCAGCTAGTTCCATGGCAAAATGGCAGTGTTTGCATTACAGAGGAGGTGCTGCCTTTAAAGTTAAGACTGCCTGTGGCAGTGATCAGTGAGGCATAAATTAACCTCTGGAATTCAGCAGCTCTACTCTAAGTCAGGCCATGAGGACATTACAATTAAGTGTCAGACTCTGTACACGACAGATAACTGCACATATACCCCAACTGACACTTGCCCAAGAAAATAAATCAACTTGTCGCCAGGCAAAGGATCAAAAATTCTGCTCCAGTGAAAACGTCTGCTTATCTGAACCCCTCCCCATATCACATCTGCTCAGTACCTTTTGCTGGAGCCCCTCACCCAACAGCATCCAGTCTGCTAGAGCCCTCCCCCCTCTCCCAACGACACTGAGACCTAGCCAGCATTCCTGCTCCTCACCTCTATACAATGGCATCTGCACATGCACACAGATGTTGAGCGAGGACATGATAAAGCTCAGCTCTGACATGCCTGAATGAATGATATCTAAGTTTGAGAGATTGAGACTCACTCATCTGCAAATTGATATAAAACACAAATGGCTGGTTAGCATGTACATTCTTAGCAAAGACCCATTGCTGTTTCTGCTGTATTCACTGTATACAAGACAGGGCCAGTTGACTAAATTTGGCATGTTCTGCTATCTCTGTTGCCAGGCCAAGAGTTAGTGTCTCATTCTGTCAACTATGATGTGCTGGCCTGTTTGAATTTTTTTTTAAACAAGAACAAGATTATTTGTTTACGCGGGGTTAAGGTTCCAGTCAATGCCTCGAGGAGTTTAACCAGTAAGTCACAGAGCCATGCAGATCCCAGATTCAAAATGTTCCCAGATTCAATCCCCAGTCTGTAATAATAATAATCCTTGCATTTGATATAGCGCTTTTCACGTCTTCTAGACGTCCCAAAGCGCTTCACAGAATAGACTGTAAAGTGAATTGACTGTATATTTGTGGGCAAACGCGGCAGCCAATTGCGCACAGCAATGTCCCACAAACAGTCGTGGATTGAAAATTACCAATTTATTATTGTTTTTGTTTTGGAGGGATTATTAGGCGTGTGGAGTAAGGAAACTTGCCCAAGGTTTCGCCCTCTGCCTGGAATTGAACTCAAGTCTCTCGCTTGCAAAGCGAGTGCTCTAACCACTGAGCTACAGGACTCCACTGTGTGAGCTAATAATAGTCAGGGTACCAAGTAGGGGAACCCCTGTGGTGGTGGGGAAAATCAGCAATAATCCTCTAGTTGTTCAGCAAGTCTTGCTAGAAATGTACAGAAGAAAGTTACATGAGGACAGGATTGGGCTATGTGATAAATACACCCCACCCCAGCTGAATCTAGAATTGCTTGCAAATAATGCTATGAATTCCTGTGAAGCACTTTGAGACACTCTTAGAATGTTATAAGGCACTAAATCGAATGCAATAGCTATTATTATTACCTCAGTACAGATTCAACAGCTTCAAGAGAAAGGGAGAAAACAAACGGGACTCTAAACTGTGGTGAAAGGCATCCCCGATTCATCTAAAACTACAACCACTACTCCTTAGCTCTGCCTGTAAGAACAAGTATTGCACTGTTGGCCTTCAGTGGAGTCCTATAGCTCAGTGGTTAGTGCAAGTGAGATACTTGGGATCAATTCCAGGCAGGGCGAAATCTTGGGCAAGTTTCCTTATTCCACACGCCTAATAATAATCCCTCCAAACAATAATAATAAATTGGTCATTTTCAATCCACGACTGTTTGTGGGACATTGCTGTGCGCAATTGGCTGCCGCGTTTCGCCCACAAATATACGGTCAATTCACTTTACAGTATATTCTGTGAAGCACTTTGAGATGTCTAGAAGACGTGAAAAGCGCTATATCAAATGCAATGATTATTATTATTAGTTATCGCTACCTTATGCCAGAACTAGTCACGTAAAAGCTTCTTAATAATCACTGGCAATACATAAGGTGGAGGCTTGTGTGGAATATAAACACTGGGCTGTGTGGCATGTTTCTGTACTGTACATTCTTTGCATGTACTACGGTGACCCTGCAGATAAAAGTTGACTTGAATGCAAGCAACATTCAGGAAGTTACATGAAGCAATGACCTGACGACCCAGAAGTCAGCATTCTTTTTCTTGCTTTTTTATAATGTGGAGCCTGAAACATTAGTGCCAGACCATCAGGTTATAATTCTGAATCCACGTTAAAATTAACCACAGACTTGTGCGAGACTCGCAACACCACTTTATCCCCAATTGAAACACAAACATAAAGCAAGATCCTTCCACTGACCTGTACCAGAAGAAAATCCAGGACAGTTAAAGTTGTAGCTCTTTATCTCATTGTACCACCTTTCAGCTACTTCCTTACCTGTAGGAATAAAGGAAAGAAAAATGGTTGTAAAGCTAATTTAACAATAAAAATCAGTAATGCAGATACTCCTCTGAAGGTTTATTCAGCAGCCCAATAGACACAGAAAAGCACTGGATGTTCAAAAACAACAACTCCACCATTAATTGGGATCACCCAAAAAACACATAGATTGTGGGGGAAAAAAATATAGACCTAGAGGCGTATAGATTGGGGACACTCTGTGACCTGGAACATTTAGCAACAGCATTTAAACGTGTCTTTCTTTGGGGTCATCGGCCTGGTATCTGATACATGGTATACTATACCACTACTGAGAGTTCTATGTGTGCCACCTACACATGGAAATTTCCCTGTGACTACCACACTGGTCCTGCATCAGGTCTCTCATCAAACATACCGGAAACAAAAACATTTCCAGTTAATAATTATCTTTTGTTCAATTACTTTTAAAATACCCAATGGAAATCTTGGTGCTGTGTATTTTGTGAGCAAATGCAGTGGCCAATTTGTGCACAGCAACGTCCCACAAACAGCCATGAAGCCATGAAGTGAATGAGCAATTTTATCCAGGGGATTTGTTGGTCAGGACCTCCCTCCCCCCCCCCCCCCCCCCCCCCCCACCAGCCGCACAGGGGCTGCCCAGGCAATACTATACAATACCCTACAAGTGAGGTCAATAACTCTTTTAATCACTTCCTGCACAATATGTGTAACAAATGCCACTGCCACCACTCACTGCACATTACCCATGGTTGCTTTGTTCAAGAAACTCTACCAGGACATTGTTTCCTGCACATAATGTACAATGTACAGGAAGTGACACCAGAGGCAACCCACTAACCTGTAAGTCAGTCATTTTTCACGCAAGAAGCCACTTCATCAACACCGGGTATACTGTGCACCTCGTTAATGCGAGTCCCGTGTAGATCCACGATGTAAACGAAGCAGCATTATATTATATTGAAGAACACTATAATGGAGTTTCTCTGTAATTCTGATTTGCAGAGAACCTAAATTGATCTGCTGCAGGAAATGAGCTAATTTTCCCATTGGATGCTTTGTATGAACAGCTACTTGCCCAAAGTTCATACCCAGGGTTGACTCACTTCCATTCGGCTAATTGTACTTTTAAAATAACACAAATCTAAAGGAAATGGGTGGCTCCACAAGTTGTAACACTAAAGTCTAACTCATCCAATTGCTTAAAAACAAATTGTTTCATTAAATTGTTTATAATGTGAAATCCCATTACTATAGCAGAGTACAGAACAGATTCCTATTTTTAAACATTAATGGCAGTGCCTTTTTAACCCCTGGACTTTATCTACATTTTCAACCCAGATTGAGGGAACAAAATCTGACAGTTCTAATGGTACAACAGTGGAGCCGTGTTATAATGTGGTGTTTATGATCCAGAGACTCTAAAGCAGGAATTCTGGTTCCATTCTATGATAATAACTTGCATTTAAATAGCACTCTTCACCTAAGTACCCCATTGTGGGAGACAACTTAAAATGGCATCTCACCATGGGTGGGGGGGGGGGTCGGGGGGGGAAATAAATAACTACAAATCAGAATGAGAATAAGGGCAATACTTATCACTGTATATAGTATAGTGATCTTTTCACCTAAGATTTGTCTTATCTTACAAGCAAGAAACATTTAGGAAAGGATATATAGAACAAGGAGAAACAACAACAAATTACATTTGTTTAGCACCTTTCACTTCAAGAGGACATCCCTACATGGTTGACAGTCAGGGATTTGGACCCGAGCTGGGGTTGGGATCAGGAGGGGTGGAGGGCAGAGAGAGGAGGGTGACCAAAGGCACAGTCAAGCAGGAGGGAAATGGAGTTAACGGAGTTAAAGGATCTACCATGATCAAATGAACTGGCAGAACAGACTCAATGGGCTGAATTGACTCCCTTTTTCTTTCCTTTGTTCTGAAGTACTCCTCCAGTTTTATCTTCCTACTTTAAAAAAAATTAACTTTATAAACCTATTTCTTACTGAAAAGCCTTAAATTCATATGTAATAAATATTACGTGGTTTATGTATTTTAATTGCTTATTAGCAGAGAATTAACTTTGCGCCAGTTCTCACCCTATTATGGAAATGTTTCAAACTATACCTGAACCCCATACTAGGCTGACACTCCAGTGCAGTGCTGCATTGCCAGATGTGTTGTCCTTCAACTGAGACAGGATCCGAGGTCCCGTCGATGGATGTTAAAGATCTCATGGCACTATTCGAAAAGGGAGTTTCTCCCTTTGTCCTGGCCAACAATTCCCCCAAATAAAATTGGTCATTCACGTCATGGCTGGTTGTGGAGTCCTGTAGCTCAGTGGTTAGAGCACTCGCTTTGCAGGTGAGAGACCTGAGTTCAATTCCAGGCAGGGTGAAACCATAGGCAAGTTTCCTTACTCCACACGCCGAATAATAATCCCTCCAAAACCAAAAACAATAATAAATTGGTCATTTTCAATCTACGACTGTTTGTGGGACATTGCTGTGCGCAATTGGCTGCCGCGTTCACCCACAAATATATACAGTCAATTCACTATACAGTGTGTTCTGTGAAGCGCTTTGGGACGTGTTCCCGACGTGAAAAGCGCTATATCAAATGCAAGGATTATTATTATTATTATTGTTGTGGGACATTGCTGCACGCAACATATCGGTCCCATTCACCTACAACATGCATTGTGTAGCATTTGCGTAAGAATTTTAGTTTAGATTGGTATCTTAAGAGTTCATTTTAATTTAGCTTAATTTTTTTGCTGAATTGTGATAAGCATATTAATCATGGTCTTAGGAGCACCATTTCAGTTGAACAAGGATAAATTTTGTATGAGAATTGAGAAACAACACAGACAAATGACTGGAAAAAGAGAACAACATGGGATAAGACTTATAAACTTTACTACCCTTGTAGTCAAACAAACAGTCCATAGTGCTATGGACACCTTACTCTAAAATCCTGCAAAGCGTTTGGAGATGTCTTCCTGACATGAAAGGCGCTTTATCAAATGCAAAAATATTATTATAATTAAATAACTTGCAGATCTACCAAATTCATGTCATTTGGATTTTATGGTTTTAATAAAAACTAAAAAAGAAAAGCTGGATTGGTGAATTTAGAAATTGGTTCACTCCACGGCATTAGCTCATAGCTCTCGCCTCCTGCTTGTGCCTTGTGCCTCCCCACCCCACCCACCCGATCACCATCGGTGCTTTCAGCCACAACTTCCCGAAACTTTGGAACACTCTCCCACAATCTCTCCATCTTGCCCCCTTCTTTTGCTTACTGTCAGCTCCGCCCTGCCCCTGGCTTGGTGTCAGGCTTTGCTAATGCTAAGTGCTCCGAGATGCCGCTCCAGATGAAGGATGCTGAATAAATGCAAGTTGTTGCTGTTATATTTATCAAGGTTTTGTCCACCACTCTAAACTGGGAGGCCTCCTCTCGTGGTATTCTCCTCCACTAACCAGGAACAGTGGAAGAATTCCATCTGACAGATCTCCAAACAAGTCATAAGTCAACAACCACAACTTGCATTTATATAGCGCCCTTCACATGGGGTAGCCAACATTCACCTCAGCTGCAGGAAATTTGCACTCATCCAGGCCGTAATGTCCGTCAGACAAACGGACAGGACATCAGTGGACTGGGAGCTGCAGTTGGAGGAGGAGAGGTAGATTTGGGCGTCACCCGCTTACATGTGGAAGTTGACCCCATGTCGGCGGATGACATTGCTGAGAGGGAGCGTGTAGAGGCATCAAACCATGGTGGGCTTGGCTTCATTCACACACATGCCACTTGTGAACTGAGGAGGTTTACACTGGCTAAATGCTACACAGCCTCTTTCACTCTAAGTCATTTTATTTAGGCAGAGAGCCGAGCCCGAAATCAGGCTCCATATTCAAATTTAGTAAAACTTGCATAAGTCTGATCTGTATATATCGTATAATCATCCAAGTCATACATCTACCCAAGTCCCGTTCAAGAAATTCTATGCAAGTTTGACATAACCCCTACTTTGTATAAGTCACAGTAAATGTATGGTCCCAACTTGAACAATTTAAGTGAGGTTTACTGTATTCACTGTTCAACAGAACTGCCCGATTGCATTTGGGACGTCCTCCCGACGTGAAAGGCGCTCTATAAATGTAATGTTGTTGTTGTAGAGGCCGCTCAATGAATGCGTAGACAAAATATGCAATCAATTCGCTTTGCAGTGCATTTTGTGAAGCACTTCTGTGACGTCTCGAAAACGTGAGAGAGGAGCCAGACAAAAAAAAAAGCAAGGATTATTATGATGATTGGTGAGCCATGCAATAAACCTGCAGTAACCTTAGATGTAGCGAGATTGCAAAGTTATAGCTGCTGCCCCTTTAGTTTTGCTTTCAGGGTCTCTAGTGTTTAGAGTAGAATAGCCAGGCAGGACTGTGTTGCACTCACCAGGTTGGTCATATGATGCCCAGGCAAGATTTTCTCCACATTGTCCTCTGCTGGACTCTGAGCTGTGTTTGAGAACTCTTGTGCTGGCTAGAGCTTGGGAGTATCTGCAAGGCAGAGAAAGGAGAAAGGCAGGGCTCAGCAATGCAGCAAACACAGTGGATATATATATATATATACACATTAAATGCAGAAATATCTTACTGTTCTGCTTCTTTGCAAAGCTTGTTGCAGAGTTTCAGCCCTGGTACTCCATGCTTCTTCCTGTAATCGTTGTGAGCTTTTAAGACTTCACCAGAAAACTCTTTCGAAGCTGAAATAGGAATTTTTTTTAAAAAAAAACAAAGCGTTATCCTAATTTAATAACGAAACAAAGGCGTGGCAAAACAAAATTACAGACAGGTCTGCATAAGATCATCAATTATTAAATCAATAAAAGAGCAACAGAAACCGACCTGACTTCCCCATAGTTTAGGGGAGGGTGTTTTGGGGGGTGGATGAAACCTCCTGTGCTGCTGCTGCTGCAGATACGAGGCTGAGCTGCTTTAGGTGCAGCAGAGAATGAGAGACTGAGAGAATGAGCTCAGCCCTGTCTGCCCGCCCTGTCTGCCTTATAAGGACTGAAGTCTTTACTGGGAGTCAGAATCCAGACTAGAGATCAGAGCACAGCATTGCCCCAGCACAGAGCTGGCCAGCTCTCCCCACCCACCCCAGCACAGCACAGCACAGCACAGCACCAGGCTGTGTCTGCGTGGAATAAAGCCCTTCCCCCAGTCAGCACAGACAGCTCCAGGTTGCCCAGACTGGCTGCTGCTGCTGCTGGGCTTTCTCTGGGTTCCAGCTGCCTCCTGTGGGGACACTCCAGGAAGTACGAGATGGAGCACGAAATAGGGATTTGCAAGATCCAGCTGCCTGCACTGCAACCAGGGGGGGACTCTTAGAGGATTTCCCAGTCTTGCTGGCTGCAGCCTCTGGTCTGGCTCTCACAGAAGAAAGGTTCACTGGGGAATCCTCTAAAGGGTTCTGTGTCGAGAGTAAAAAAAAAGGTTATGCAGCCAACGCGATTGAGATGGAGTAACAGAATGCAATTGGCAGGGTTTAAAAAGCCTGAATCCAAACATTAAATGAGAAAACGTTTTTGTGACCAAATAGGGTGTTTCGAGTTCTTGTTATCGTGAGGGTTTCTAAAAGATGAAACCTTAAACCAAGCTCCTCCCTGCCTGCTCAGGAGATGTTAAAGAACCCATTACACTATACTATTAACAATAATAATAATAATAATAATAATCCTTGCATTTGATGTAGCGCTTTTCACGTCGGGAGGACGTCCCAAAGCGCTTCACCGAACACACTGTAAAGTGAATTGACTATATATTTGTGGGCGAACGCGGCAGCCAATTGCGCACAGCAATGTCCCACAAACAGTCGTAGATTGAAAATGACCAATTTATTATTGTTTTTGGTTTTGGAGGGATTATTATTAGGCTTTGTGTGGAGTAAGGAAACTTGCCCAAGGTTTCGCCCTCTGCCTGGAATTGAACTCAGGTCTCTCACTTGCAAAGCGAGTGTTAATCCTTGCATTTGATTTAGCGCCTTATCATGTCGTTGAGATGTCTCAAAGCGCTTCACGTTCATCTCCGCTATTTCTCTGGCTCAGCACAATCTCTGCCATTACTTAGCCTCAGAGAAGTTACTCACGTGAAGTGTACTATACAAATGCAAGTTACTGTTATACAGTTCAGGCTCATTTCTCATGTTTCTAAGTGAAGTGGCTTTGATGGATGGTGAATGGGCTAATAATGGGCAATGCTGCTGTGAGTGTGCAATGTCTAATTGCTAAATTGAGCTGCAAGAAAATTATTCCCAGGTGAATTGCATGGAAAGAATGTAGTTGGTCAGGAATTCCAATCTGAAAATGCCTTCCTACTCTGGTCGGAAAAACTTTTGATGAAAGCAGCACGAAATTATAATCTTAATAATACAATAATCCTTGCAATTGAAATAGTGCTTTTCACAACATCAGGACATCTCACAATGCTTACGGGGTTGTGTAGTGACTGTGTATTTGTAGGCAAACATCTACAAAAAATCAAACAAATACTATCATTTAGGGATAATAATAGATATGTCAACTCATACAAACAATTGTTCTTGTGACAAGGATTGACGTGAATTCTCCTCGTGCCAAGGATTGACTTTAAGATCCTCGTCCCAATCTCCAAATTCCTTCCTGTTCTTTCCTCTCCATAATTATGCCATCCTGTTCTCTGGCTCATGCCCCTGTGTTTCTGATTCTGGTCTACCATTTGTTTCTCACTCCATCTGTCTCACTGTTTCATGGCTGAGCTCTGGTTCCTTGAATTGTCATTCTGAAGAAGCCTTGAGCTCCCCCTATAGTCTGATACTGTAATAATAATAATAATAATCCTTGCATTTGGTATAGCACTTTTCACGTCTTCTCGATGTCTCAAAGCTCTTCACAGAATAGACTGTAAAGTGAATTGACCGTATATTTGTGGGCGAAACGCGGCAGCCAATTGCGCACAGCAGTGTCCCACAAACAGTCGTGGATTGAAAATGACTTATTATTGCACTGTAGTACAATACAGGGAATAATAATAATCTTTGAATTTGATATAGCGCTTTTCTTCTAGACATTTTCTGGACGTTTCAAAGCGCTTCACAGAATATACTGTAAAGTGAATTGACTGCATTTTTGTGGGCGAAACGCAGCAGCCAATTGCGCACAGCAGTGTCCCACACACAGTCGTGGATTGAAGTGACCAAATTATCATTGGGCTTTTTTGAACATTGATGAGATATCAAACAGAGGACTTGTCTCCTTGTTCAGTTGGATATCAAAGATCCCATAAAACTTGAAGGAGAACAACAACAATAACAACTTGCATGTATATAGAGGCCTCTACACAGGATAGCGTCTCAGAGTGCTTTACATTACATTTAATGTTATGACATTAACAGTAGCAGAGCCTGACTCCGAGCGGGGCGGGTGGGGGGGGTGCACAGGAGGGTTAGGGCTGTCAAAGAGGAAGGTTGTCAGACGGGACTTGAAAAGCGGAGAGAGGGGGTAAAGCAGAGGGATTGAGGGAGAGTGTTCCAGAGTTTCAGGGCATAGTGGCTGAAAGGGCAATCTTCGATGGTGGAGCGGAGGGTACAAGGCACAAGCAGGAGGCCGGTGCCAGTTAAGTGGAGGTGCCGGGTGGATTGGGGAGTGAGGAGGTTGGAGAGGTAGGGAGGTGCCAGAGAGTGAAGTGTGAGGATTTGAAGTCGATCTGTTTGGTGGTGGGGAGCCAGTGGAGCCTGGCTAGAACTGGTGAGATGGGCTATGGAGTTTGGTCCGGGTCAGTATGAGGGCGGCAGAGTTCTGAATGAGCGGAGCTTTTGAATAATGGAGCTGGAGAGACCAGCGAGGAGTGCATTGGAGTAATCCAGTCGGGAGGTGACGAACACATGCATGAGGGTTTCGACTGCATTTAGGGTAAGGTACGGTCGGAGGCAGGTAATGTGACGGAGGTGGAAGAAGGCGGTCCTGGTCAGGGATTGGATGTGGGGGAAGAAGGACAACTGGGGGTTGAACCGGATGCCTAGATTGCGCACTGGTTTGTTGAGTCAGAGGGAGAGCCCAGGGAGATTGAGGAGTTCAGATCCACAGGAGTGAAGATATTGACTGACAGGAGCCAAGGAGTACGGCTTCTGTCTTGTCCACATTCAGTTGCAGGAAGTTTGCCCTCATCCAGGCCCTGATATCTCCCAGACACGCTGATAGAACATTGGCGAACCTGGAGTTGGTACTGAAGGAGACAAAGTAAATTTGCGTTTCATCCGCATACATGTAGATGTTTATCCCATGTTTGCGGATGACATCACCAAGAGAAAGCATATAGATAAGGAAAAGAAGAGGGCCAAGGATGGAGCCCTGGGGTACCCCACAGGTGACTGTACAGGGGCGGGAGGAGAAACTATTTTCTGAGATGAAATGGAGGCAGTTGGTTAAGTAGGAATTGAACCATGCAAGTGCAGGCCTACTAAGGTGGATGAGGGAGGAGAGGAGGTGGAGAAGGATGGCGTGGTTGACAGTGTCGAACGTGGCAGAGAGATCCAGGAGGACAAGGAGGCAGAGGGAGCCCTGGTCACAGATAGAGAGGATGTTGTTTCTGACTTTGACAAGCACTGTCTCTGTGCTGTGGGCAGGGCGAAAACCAGACTGCAGGGGCTCGAGGAGGGAGTGGAGGGAGAGGTGTGACTGAAGTTGACCTGCAACATTGCAAGGAAGGGAAGGTTGGAATTCCTCCAAAAACCCAAAACAATAATAAATTGGTCATTTTCAATCTACGACTGTTTGTGGGACATTGCTGTGCGCAATTGGCTGCCGCGTTCGCCCACAAATATACAGTCAATTCATTTTACAGTGTGTTCTGTGAAGCGCTTTGGGACATCCTCCCGATGTGAAAAGCGCTATATCAAATGCAAGGATTATTATTATTATTATTATGGGATGGTAGTGTGAGAGATTCGAGGGATTGAGGGTGGGTTTTTTGAGGACTGGTGTGATGATAGCGATTTTCAGGGGGAGTGGAACAGAGCCTGAGGAGAGAGACTGTTTGATCGTGTCAGCCAGCAGGGGAGAAGAGAAGAGGGAGTTGAGTGACCAGCAGCTGGGTGGGGAGGGGGTCGAGTGAACTTCATGCGGGTGATTGTGGTTGAGAGGGAGGAGTGATAAATAGGGGCAAAGGAGTGTAAGGAGGAGGGAGTGGCAGGAGTCGTGGCGTTGTGATCTCCTCGTGTTCCAGCAAATAAACATCCAGATTAATTGGTCATTTATCTCAAGTGGGGGGTTTCTATAGGGCTTTAATGGTAAATAGCTGCCATGTTTGTCTACAAAACTACTAGTACTACTAATAATAATCCTTGCATTTGATATAACACCTTATCACGACTTTGAGATGCCTCAAAGTGCTTCACAAAATATATTGTAAAGTAAATTGACTGTATAGTGAGAATAATCTCTGAGAAGAGTTAGTAAACTCGAGTTCTCAGCTTAATGTAGGGTTTGGTAAACTATGAAGGAAAATCTGCTAATACAGTAACAATTACAGTAAAATTTACATTATTTAGTGTATATGATATCAAATAGCATACCTCCATACATATAACCATACATACAACAATACATACATACAACCATACATACAACCATACACACATACATGCAAACATACATACATACTGCATAAATTTAGACAAAGAGAAGTAAACAGTATTAAATGAGGCTCACAAAAACTTATAAATTTAGACGAAGAGAGAAGAAAGATGGTTTCAGAATAGTGCACATTCATAAAGTATAAATGTAGCACAGAAAAAGACAGTGGAATCTGAGTATATTTGGACAGGGTACAGATGGACTGAGCCCACATGTCATCATGACATGTCATCGGGAATGAAAAGGATATTTTAGAGTCTTCGAGCATCATCTCACAAGCCCAGGCATGCAACAGCTTTTACCCTCCTATATATACTACAACCCTCTGTGTATGCTGACCAATTCTTTTTTCTCCAAGCACATTTTTTATCAGGATCACTAGCACTTTTATCAGTGGCGTTCCTGTATTCGTTTTGGAGGAGGAAGAACACAGAAACAAATATGCCATTTGGCCTGTTGAGCCTGC